AACATTTTCATCCAAACGTAAATATTACGATTGTTTTTTCCTTGAAATTTTTTTAAACATTAAACTACATTGTTTTCATATTTTATTGTAGTATGGAAAGGCTGGAATATTTTACAACAATGTCCTATATATTGTCCCAAACATAAATTATCATCAAAAGCTGAAGAACAAGAAAATGGTACAAATATTTTATAGTTTTTCAAAATTTTATTTATTATTAACAAAATATAAATCCATATAATTTTAGTTGCAGAGAATCGAGAAAAAATAGATCCCTTGAGTCATCCAGATTTCTTTCATGTTTATGACATGTTCACTGTTAAGGATTTATTCGATGCAAGAGTACATTTTGGTCACAAAGAAGGTTCTTTGAATGATTATATGAGACCTTTTATATTTGGATCCAGATTGGGTCATTTAATATTTGATTTAGATCAAACTGCTGAACTTTTGCGGCAAGCATTAAATTTCACAGCTCATGTAGCTTCTCAGGATGGGATAATTTTATTTATAGCAAAAAATCCTCAAATTTCTTACATTGTAGAAAGTACTGCGAAAGAATGCAAAGAATATGCACATACAAGGCAATGGAAATTTGGGACATTTACAAATGCTAACAATGAGTTTGGTGCAGTTACTAGGTTGCCAGATTTGTGCATATTCATTAACAGTATGGAATCTGTTGTTCAACAACACATAGCAGTAGTACATTCTGCTAAAATGGCTATTCCAACAATTGGTATTGTGGATACAAATTGTGATCCAAAACTTATATCATATCCTGTTCCTGGAAATGATGATACACCCTGTGCGATACAGCTTTATTGTAAGTTATTTAAGGAAGCAATAATAAGAGGAAAGGCATATAGAAATAAAATGCTTGAAGAGGGTATAATATAATATAATTCCTTATACACTTTTGTAAATGTAAAACATATTATAAGTACATTTTTAAAATAAACAAACATCAATGGTTTTTTCAAATTAAATATAATAGAATAGAGATAGATTGTTTATTGTTCTTGTTTGATCTTCGTTTTATTATCTCGCAAACGTAGTAAATATCTTGGTCCTAATAATCTGAGTATCCTAAAATGTAAAATAATGTTATAAGTGCATGGAAATAGAAATCAGTAAATATAAAATAACTTACAATGCTCCTAAATTTGGATAATATACTTTTAAGTAGTATAGTTGAAGTACAAGTGGTTTACTTATCCATACTTCCGAAAGTTTATTTGCTATTGCAATACCCATCAATGTAGCACAACGTCTGGCGCTAATCTTATTCACTGAATCTTCTTGTGTATTTTCTCCATATTTCTGTAAAGAAGAAATATATTAAAGAAAAAAGAAATATTTCAGAATGGAATTATATTAAACTTACTTCATTAGGTTTATCTGTATATGCTTCTGCTAAGAAGTTAGTCTGTGTTGCTCCTGGACATACAATTGTCACTGATACATTTTTACCCACTTTTTCAACATTAAAGGCAGTATAGTAACCCTGAAAATACCAACGAAAAAAATGATACGTGCATGTACATTATCAATAATTATAACTAGATAGTGATAATTCTTATGATTAAAACAACTTACATGTAATGCATATTTAGTTCCACAATATGTAGCAGAGAATGGTGCTGCTATAACACCAGCAAGGCTTGAAGTAATTACAAAATGACCTTCATCCACTTTGAAAAAATATTCTGCTATCAGTCTGCTTAAAGCCATTTGTGAAAATACATTCAAGTTAAACATATCTTTATCTACAGTCAAATCAATTTTTTCCCATATTGCTCGTTGAGACCGTCCTGCATTATTTACAAGTATATCCAACTAAAATTACAATAAAGCAAAATTAAAATCTTATAAATTATTACAATGAAAAGTATTAGACACGCACACACAGTGTGTGTGTGAGAGTCAAAAAAGTCACCACACACCCCTTTAAAACAGAATAACCTTTTTAAAATTCGACCAAATGATTTGAGTTTTTTTGAGAAATTAGAAGGATTAATATACTACTTAGATGACATGTCCAAAAAATTTTGAAAAAATTGCAATTTGTGGGAATTGCAAAGAAAATTGTAAAGGTCACTGTTTACAACTTTTTTATCTGAGCTCGTAATGAAAATTTAAAACATACGTTTTGTAGATCTATGTCAATTATATACATGCTGAAAATTTTTTCGAAATCGGTTAATGTTGCTATGACATACAAATGGTTAAAAATTGTGAAAATTGCACTTTTCACGACTTTCGGCCTATAACTGCAATAAATTTGATGATTCTTACATCTTTCGATGTCTATCGCTTGTTTCTCCATCAACCGATTTTGATAAAATTTTCATTACAAGCTCAGATAAAAAAGTTGTAAACAGTGACCTTTACAATTTTCTTCGCGATTCCCACAAATTGCACTTTTTTCTAAATTTTTTGGACACATCATCCAGTATACTAATCCTTCTAACTTCTCAAAAAAACTCAAGTTGTTTGGTCCAATTTTAAAAAAGTTATTGTGTTTTAAAGGGTGTACAGAGACTTTTTTGACTAAGTGTATATACATATACCTACTTTGCCAAATTTAGTAATAATATTGTTAAATGCTGATTCATGACTATTTATGTCACAGATATCCAGAACTAATATTTCAACGTCTAAGTTTGTTAAATTGCTATTTCCTGAAAATAAAGGTATGTCAGACTCAAGGCACAGTGTAACAATACTTTTGAGAAAATTTACTTACTCTGCAAACAGTTAGCTTTTACTCTATTTAATTCTGATTCTCTTCTTGCTGATAAAATAATTTTACAACCAGCTTCTGCTAGAACATATGCAAGATTTTCTCCAATTCCACTCGATGCTCCTATTATCCATATCACTTTACCTTTTAAAGAGCCTATAAAAAATGTCTTACATATATATTAAAGAATAAACGATTTTTTACTCTATATAATAAAATTACTCACTAATAGGTTTTCCAAATTTTTCATGGAATGTTAAATTTAAATCACAATCTAAAAACCATGGCAAAATCACATAAATAAGATAATAAACTATAACTATTGAACCTATAACAGCTAAAAGATCCATTTTGTTAAGTTGTTAATACTGTCTAATTCGATCTGAAAGTAAAAATAAAAGCAGTTTAGATGAAGCATCTTATCAATTCAATTAATTGTTAATATTGTACCGCTGCTCTTGAACACAGATCTTATAAATCTTTGCTCTAGCACTAAACAAACGCATAGACGGCGCTAGTTGTATATGCAATGGCGTACGATGCGACGATGACAAATGGCGTTTTATAATACAGTAAAGCTTCTCACATTGTCCCTCAGTTCGGATATGAATGGGCACAGTTTCAGTAGAGAAATATTATTTCTTGAGTCACGCAACTCGCTTTGTAAGTACAGTAAAGACTCTATAAGAGTTCGTTTGGTTCTACACGTTAACTGTTCATGATCTATCCTCATCATAAGGGGAGACCCCCTTGAACCAGGCAAGCGACTAATGTGACACGGCCGCGTCATCTCCTTATCGCATTCGACGGCGGCATATCGGTGTGACGCTAACAAAACTACAAAATGTTTGTTATTTTCAATTTTTCGTTAATAAAAATTTCATCAAAATATTGGTGAGATTTTCCTGATTAAAATGATACCAAACACAATACTGTTATAAAACTTAGTTGTGTTGATTGGGCTTGTGAATCTTCCTTTGCCTGCTACCTTTTCCTACGTTCATTTCACTGCCGGCAAAATGTTTACATCTAAAGAATGAAGAACTTCTCTGTTAAGAGTTTCACAGCTGTGCCGAATACGAACAGTTATCCAGTACTAGAACTGAATCAATCCGGTTATTCTCGAATGGAACAGTCTTCTACACGTTAACTGTTCGTAAGTGGCATTGCTTTTGAACAATTAACGGAGAGTAAGAAACGAAACGATTTTCGACCTCTGATGAATTTAAAGGACACATAAGAATACACATAGGAGTTTTATGCTAAGGTTTACACTAGTCAGGACTCTTCACAAGCAGTTCGTAAACAGCTTGCGAACAATTGTAATTTACTATGTTAAAAAGTATGTTAAAAAGAGAATTTAAATAGATTTAAAAAATTGAAGGTCATCTTCATTTCTTTAAAAACAATACAAATACAAACAATTCACATACATCGTTATATTGTTTATAAAAAATAGTATCACTTACTCCGTATGTATATATGCATGTGTGGAATTTCTTATTAACTAAATGCAAACCGAATTACCGTATACCGTATTTGGTCTCATTTTAATCAGAAAAATATCGTGGATATGTTAGTAAAAATTTTGTCAACAAAACACAAAAAATAAAAAAGTTTCTCTTTTGTATTAGTGTTGTCTCACTCGTATGTAGGCATTTAATTTTTTACGACTGTCTCAACTTTTAATACCTCTCTCATCTTTGTCCACTGTCTCTTTCTGCGTCCGTTAGTGTCTGTAAAATACAAACAGTTTGAAAAATCTAGTACCTATCCCGTAACTGTTCCATAGCAGACCTGAATTTCGAACTCCTATCGAGTCTTTACTGTACATATGTACTGTCCGACATACCTAAAGTGAAGCCTCTGACGTCACACAGGGTCTAAAAGTGGAAGATGTAGGGGAACTTGCGACGGCTCGCTGTTAGTAAGCTAAAAGGGATAGAATAAGGTTATCGCAGTTACTCTTAGGTCTTCCCTTATAGTCAGCCAATTTGGATAGAATAAGGCTACCGCACTTTCTCTTCTATGAACAATAGATGACGATCGGGTCCAGTGATGCCAGAATCGTGAGCCGTGGGCGAAAGCAGTTTCCCCCACTATGACCTACCACCGTCTCCCACTATACCGTCCTCGTGCTCTCATAAATATAGCGGTAGCTCTGTCGTGTGCGAAGCCTGTTCGGCTTTTTCCGCCAATAATCTACGTCACCACGTGATTCTCGGGCAACCTGAGCGCATGAGTAAGAATCAGGAGATTTTCTTTTAATCTCGGTGAGACACAGTGTTTCGAGTATATGGGCGTTCGGGACAAAAATCATAACTTCTAAATTAATCAATTTTAGACCTAAGTTCTCTAATACTTTTTTGAAGAGAATTCAAATATGTATTGATTGGCACATTAAAAAATACATGGTTTCATTTAAAAAAATTGTAGTGATCTTTATTTTTTATCGAATAAAAACTTTTTTGTAAATTTTCATTAACACGATTTATTGTCAACTGAATACTGATTAACTTTTGTTTGAAAAATTTGTTCATCAGTTTCGCGGAAATACCGGAAAAATCGTAGCGGCCGTTTCGCATACAGGGGTTTGAGAGACAAATATCGTAACTTTGTATACATTCAAAATTTCTCTTTTATTTTTGTTTTGTAATTTTCATTAGGTAGTTAAATAACAATATAAGTAATAAAAAAATTGAATAACACGTACAATAGTAGGATAGGACGCTAGAATACTGAACGCGTCAATAATGATTTTGACAATTTTCTTCATTTTGAGCAAATTTGAGCAGTTAAATTTGACATTAATATGAAGATTTATATGTTCAAAATTAATATACAAAAAATCACAGAGGTATTACTCGGTACTTTTTTTAAAAGTCTCGTTAAATTTGATAAAAATTTTACATAAAAAATTAGGAAAATTTATTACAATTGTATTAAAATTCTGTGTCAGCTTCAAAGGTATTCAGGTACTAAACACAACCTATAAAAACCAAATCAAAAACACAAATGGTCTGTGAATGGCACATATTTGAAAAATACACTGATTTTAATGGAGCAAATTTCACATCTTAATTTTAACAACAAATGGACGTATTCAGTCAAAATTGTAGGTAATATTACAAACTATGGTTTGTTATTAACATTTTAAAATGAAAAAATTTTTAGATTTTACACTTTGAATTTCTGATTTTTATCCATTGGTCGAAACACTGTGGGTCGGTGTTACATTTTATTTTTAATTATTTTGTAATTTCATTTTGTAACTTTTCAGCGAAATGAAAAATTTGAGAAATATTAATGTGCAAAGCACTTATCAAGGAGACTACATACCTGTCCCCCGGGGATTTTGATAAAATTTGAAGGGATGAATCTAAAAGTCTAAAAATGACATTCTGTAAAATATTTCGTTTCAATGCGCATTTTTTAGAAACAATTGAAATTACTTCTTTAAAACTTTGGAAGCTTAAGTTACGTTCAACAATCGGCAGTACTAACTGACATTTTGGACAATATGGAATTAGAAGAAGGAAGAAATATGCGGTTCCAACAAGATGGTGCACCTTTACATTAAATGAAAATTTTCAAAATATGTGAATTGGACGTGGTGGGCTAGTATCATGGTCACCCAAATCACCAGATTGTTCGTCGTGTGATTTCTTTTTGTGAAGGTACCTAAAACATATAGTTTATCGCACTTCAATTGAAAGTATAATGGACTTACGCCAACGAATAAGTAATGCATGTGCAAAAATAAGTTCAGGACCCGCGGACAATTTTATGACGGAGGCCTTGTGACAATAACCAGAGTTGAGGGAACGTCGGCACAGACTCCAAAAAACAACTGAGGAGGTCGCTTGTTGTCTGGATGTACGATAGAGCAGACGCGAGGCGAGTTTTAACCTTGATATCATTACACAGTCGCCAACCCATTCATATATTGAATAAAATAAAATTATAAGTTGAAAGTCTCGGTATTACTCTTACAAGCATGTCTTCCGATTTTGATGAAACCGTAGTACATATGTCGTAGTCTATTTTTTTTTTCATTCACATCACAAAAGATTGAATTTTCTAAGAATATTTTTAATTTTGTTGTACGCACCTTTTTCAATATGAAAATTGTAAATAAATTTTTGTTCTGCAAAAACGAACTCCTACTTCCATCTGTTAAAATCTGAAAAAAATATATGTTATTCCTTGAATGTTTCTCGATAAGCATACCAAATTTCATTAGATCCGAGAGCAAAGCGTAACTGGATCTTGACCGGCTCGATAGTGTGAATACTCAGGGATGTAATCGAACCAAGAACGGACCGGGAACGGCACGATAGTGTGTACGGGCCTTATTGTACATAAATAGATGGTACGTTATTTCACTCAGAATCACCATCGGTGTGAGTTTGTGTTAGTTCTAAGGTTTCTGTAAAGATCGATGAGACTTAACTCTCAGTTGGTATCGTTGGGTCTCTGATGGCCCGCAAATGTTTCTGTTAAGGGGGCAGGACAGTTTGAAATTTTGAAAAAATCGTTTTTCTTTTTTTTGTTTTAAATAGTAGTTTGAAGTCTTGGAAACGAGATGCAAACGATCCCTGCCCATAAAACAACCTATTTTCGGGTACAAATGATGTGGGCCGATAGAGAGATTTTCGTTCCGTGAAAAGTATTCGTTATGGATAAGGCGAAAGGGATAAATAGAAAAGGTTCGCGTTCATCAACTGCTCGTATAAGCAGGCCACGGAAAAGAAAGCGTCCACAGAATCCCCATGAAGTTAAAGGCAAAGCGGCTTCAACAAGTGCGTCCGCTAGAAAACTATCTGGCAATTCGTTGGAAGTACCTATAATTGCGAGCCACGGATACAGAAAAATTGAATTTGTATCACTGTTTACAACTTTAAGCAGTATTATAAAGTGTAAAACGTGTGATTCAAACATTACTTTTGGTGAAACAAGTGTTAGGGACTTGGATTCAATTTAGTTGTGAATTGTGAAAACTGTGAACCGCGACATATAAATTCGGGTCCTCTCATAAATCAAGCACGAAAGAAGGTCGAATCGCCTGTAGATCCAGTCAATCGGCTTTGCAAGAGGCTGAAGCTGAAGCAGAGGGTCATATGTACGAAGCAGGAATGGCTGATTAATGGTAAGTGAAGGATGCATATGATGTCGTTAAAAATAACGTCCCGAAACTTTAAACGCGTTTTTCTCGAAAATAGGTTTTCAGAAACGGTGTGCACAATATCTCGGAATCTAACCAACCGATTTCTATGAAATTTGGTACGTATCTTTAGTGTAACATTTTTTAGGCATTGACGATCGATTTTTTTTAAATTGCGAAAAATTTCGAAAAATATAAACAAAAAATCTTAGAAATTTTTGGTATAGATTCGATAGATCAACCACAAATAGCTGCTACTTTCATAATTTTCACAAAAATGGAAATGTTAGATCGTCAATGCGTAGAGAATACTGTGTACTTTTAAACTTTTTTTGATTTTTTATTGCAGCTAATCCTGTTCGGCTGGAATCATGTACACCAATAGGCAATTTAAAAAAAAGTTATGTAAAAGGATACCGTCGGAAATTTAAATAAGAGCCTTTTTTTAATGTTGTTTCATGTTCTTCGTAATGTGCTAAAATAAACCACAAAAACTTATGTCAATCAAACATGTACTTTTCTTTTTATTGTTCCTCCAAGTTATTAGTCATTTTTAGACTCGTCAAACTGTCCTGCCCCCTTAACGCAGCTTCCCGCGCTTCTCGTGGGTTGGAAGGTCGGGTTGGCGTTGGTAATTATTGCACGTGTATGGGTCAACTACTTATTGTCGCGATGGTGATCGCACTTTATTTATGATGTCGATTATTGCGGACTGGACCGCACTGGTGTATTAAAAATATCGAGTATCGCGTGTTAGAGCACTCAAAGTGGTGTCGATTGTTTTTATGTATCTTAGAATCTGCGCGTGTGCCGTGAAGTGGCTGTATATATGTTCTTTGCCAAAAATGGGGAGTTTACCTAGTTGGCAAATCATGGGCCTTTCACCCCCTAGAGCCGCTCTCCTAGGCCCTCGTGCACTCCCCCGTGGTCCGCAGAGTAGGGCGGTGGCAGAGAGGGAGAGACGGTCCCAAACGGGGGTGTCAGCCCCGCGTGGCGATTTTGCCGAAACGTCGACTTTGCGGGTTTATGGCATGTATACCGTTACTGAGCGCGCAGAGGCAAGTACCGGCTTACCATGTGGCCCGCAGAAGTGGAGAATTTCCGCGGACATCAGGTAATAAGCCGGATTTGCCCTCTGGCTTGAATAGGCTATTGTTATCAAAGAACTTGTAGAAAAAACTTCTCAAAAGTAACGTCGCCTGGAATCCGTGCCATAAACCTCTGTTGGTTAAACAGTTTCAGTTGTTAATTTTCTGGTTGCAAGGCAAATTCATAATCCCCGTTTCTCTGTATTCCCTCAGCATAAAATACCTGTCTTCATGTGCTACGTTAAAATAATTAATAATCTACGTTAAAATAATAATTAATTATAAAGCTTGTTGCAATAACAAAACGTAATAACAAAATAACCAAAATACTTTTTTTCAATATTTGTTAACATCACCATGTCAGATTTTTTATATTATGCGAAAATAATTAAAATAGTTCATAAAAGTTTAGTGTATACCTCGTTTATTTGTTTGTTATATTGCTTTAGTCATATAATCTTGTTATGCCCATACTATTTTCTATATTAACATGTCCCGTTAATATTTCTGTTCGTATCACATTATTTTGTATAATTAAGAATATAGTAGAAGTTAAAAAAAAATCCATTCTATCTCTTTTATGTACACGCCATACAACTATTAATAACATTTCAGGTAACAATATTCATTACTATACCACACACGACGTACAAGACTGACCTTGCATCTTATGGGACTTTTTGTCCGAGGCTTTGGAGCCGAGAAAACCCTTACCATTTTCGCGTCGCTACCAACGTTATCGATTCAGCTTAGAATAAGATTATAACATTAGTAGTGGTTGGAATTGGAATTAAACGTAACTATAAAATTACAAATAGGAAAAAAACGTAATTGTTTATTAGTAGATG